AAGTATATATTGGTTTGGTTTGTTTTGTTTTACGGCATATCAACCTCAATGTGTTATTTAATGCTGAAAAAATTTTTTTTTGCTGGTAAAATTTTTTTCAAAGAAATGTATTGCTAGTAATTTTTTTTTCCAAAAATGTATTGCTGGCAATTTCTTTTTTTTCTTTTTTTTTCAAAAATATATTGCTAGTAATAATTTTTTTCTTCAAAAATTTATTGCTGGTAAAAAAAAATTTACAAAAAAGTATTTCTGGTATTAAAACCTATTTTTACACTTTCATAGCGTTTTGACTCCAGTTTGGGGGTTAACTATTTGCCCATAGCTGGGAGCTTAACAGGTGCTATCACTCCGGGTCAGGGGTGGTTCCACGCTCCTCAAAACCTCCTGATCAGAGGCCTTGCTGTTGGACGTAGTTCATCGTCTTACCCAGGACGCGGATGTAGTTTATCGCCATACTCAGGACGGATATAATACAGGATTTAAGTATACCTGAACAAATTCAAAATGTTATCAAACATATCAATTTTACGTCATTAACGCTACTATTTGTAAGATTTACATCATAAAAGTAACGTTTGAGAGAATATATCTATATACGAGAGAGAAGGTAGTAAATACTATTGCAAATTTACTTAGTTAATCAAAATTAGATGAAAAATAAATGAAACAGCGTACAACTGTAAATATGATAAACGGACTTCGATGTGGTGTGATAGTTAGCAAGCTTGTCTCGCTAGATTAATTATGACTGAATAGTGAGTACGATCCTCACTAGGTGTCCCATAATTTCGGCCTTTTGACGCTTCGTAAACCGATAAGTTTGACTATTTGCTTTTTATCTTGTCTTTCTCAATTCGACCGCTTTTCTTTCTTTGTCCGTTCTCATGTTTCTTTCTTTCTTTCTTTCTTCTTATCTTTCTTTCTTTCTTTCTTCTTATCTTTCTTTCTTTCTTTCTTTCTTAGTCTGTTGCTATCTATCTTCATTTCTTTCTTTCTTTGTGCACTTCGATGTAATGTAATGGTTAGCAAAGGTTGTCTTGTTAAATCAATTACGACTGAGTAGTGAGTTCGATCCACATTGGTTGCCCTATACTTTTGGCATTGCGCCACATCTAAGCTACCCTTAGTAAATCCCTATACACGCGCAGGCGCGCACACACTGAAAGAAGAAGAAATATCAGTATTGCACCAACGAAGGTGCATAAATTATTTTTAACTCATTAAAAAAAGTGACGAAAAACGAGAAAATAAACAGTCAATTGTTGTATCTTCAGACGAATAAATGGATTCAATGATAGAGGGACCGTCCAGAAAAACTCTAGATTCGAGGGGCTGAAAATAACATCAATCAGCTAAGTAACAAATTATATATATATTATATATACACATACATACAACAACTAAAAAGTTGCAAATTAAAAAAAATAATGTTTTTTTATGAAAGTATTTATTTATATTTCAGATCGACCTCGATCTTTCTTCAGAAACAACTGTTTTTAGAGGTTTGTTTTCAAGTAGCGTCCGTCGCGAGATGCGGACGTCACGTGATATGGAACGCCACTGTGTTCGAATATTTTTAACGTTTGTATATATATATATATATATATGTATATATATATATATATATATATATATATATATATATATATATATATATATATATATATGTATATATATATATATATATATATATATATATATATATATATATATATATATATATATATATATATATATATATATATATATATATATATATATATATATATATATATATATATGTATATATATATATATATATATATATATATATATATATGTATGTATATATCGATTATTAACTCTACCTATTTTACCGAGAGTGAAAGAAAATGAGAAAGACGTTAAAAGAACAGGTTTCAGGAAGACGGAAATTGGCGATTTATATTAAACTTAAAGTAGGTGCCAGGGAAACAAGAAGCCGGTAGGGAGTTCCACAGGTGAGAAATGAAACTATTAGAATAGGACTTAAGATTACATCTAACAAATTTAACAGTAAAACGATTTCCAATCTAGTACTACGTTTAAATTCACGCGACAGCGATCCCAAGAAGTAAAGCTCATCAGAGCAATTGCCATGAAAATATTTATAGAAAATAGAGAGGGAAGCCCCATTACGGCGGTGGAAGAATCCCGGGATATCTCGCAGAAGCACCAGACCGTATGTGACAACATTATTCAATGTATGGTCGAATGACAGATTTATAACTATGCCAGATGACCACTATTTACATTATTCGAACCATTGTCCTCATCTTTGTCACCATATTTATTACAACGTTTCGGCTGTTGTACGTTCCGGCCTTCTTCAGGTGGTTGGAATGTTCGACATTACTAACCTCCCACACACACACACACACACACGCGCGAAGTGAATATGTTTCAAGATCCCCAGTGGATACCTGAAACTACAGATAATAGTAACTTACACACTAGATTTTATCTATAACTACCTACCTTCCTGTGATAAACTTTAATTTACTAAGCAATAATTAATAATGAAAGTACAATTATAATCAGATACTATCAAAGGGATTTTTGTTTTTACGGACATCAGAACTTTCACCTTTTCATTTAAGAAAGCACTTTACGACAGTAATGATAGTAATATTAATAATAGTTGTTTGTGAGAGGTGAATGTGGTACACAAAGATTCGTCAAATCTAAATCCATATTTATATGCATAACTGGCACAAGGTCATGTTTATGGACCATCAAAAAACGAGGGGGTTTACAATCCCTTTACAGTAGGTTTACTGCATAGACATTTGTTAGACCAATTTGTTCTGTAAAGCCAACCTTAGTATTAAACACTCAATGGAGGAACGAACAAAGTCATAATGGATTTACGATACTAACACATTCACGCCTATCCTATAAGAATCAGTGTCAAGTATTAAGTCAACGATTAAAGTATTAAGATTCAAACACAAACCAGTTTTTTTCAACTGTATATTCAATTTGAGGAGCGAGAAGCGTTAACGATTTTCGCTCGCACACAAACTTAAATTTATTATGAAGGAAGTTAGTATGTTTGTCTTGCCAACTAGTAAATATTGAAGTAGTCACGGAATACGTGACAAAATGACTTCCTGAAAGATTTTGTTCGGTCGAAGTAGTTTGAACAAAACAAAAATCAATTTTAAGCCCTTAAAAGAATTAGATTTTTCTTCAATTTTATTTGCGAATATCTACGTATATGAGTAATTTAAAAAAATATATATATTTCGACAGCCTTTTTCATTTAAGTTCAAAAGGAAATTAGAATTATTTCCCTATTTTCTTAATTATGCTAGGTCTGATCTACGGTATTGGAGCAACTTTTTTCTATTCAGAAAGTCTTAACCCCAAAAGCAAAACTTGAATTTCTTTTCTGATCAATTGAACGCGGAACTATTTCTGTAACACGGTCTTGTAAAAAAAGAATTAAAAAAAAATAACTTCAGTTTAACACATTTACTACAACAACGCTCATGTGCGACGTGTTGGGTCTAGCCTGGTGGATGTTAGTCAATTCCATTGTTTTATCTTAAGCAATGCCAAGAGTTACATCTTCACGTCACTTTCATCTTCATTTGTAGAGCGTTTTCGCTAAAGAAAAAAAAATGACAAACAATTTAAGCTATTTGTGAGGTGGGGAGCAAATTACGATTTCATTTTTTTTTTTTGTAGTTAAATTTACCAAATAACGCAAAAGTAGTCTTCTATAGCAATTTCTAGTTGCAACCTTAAAAACAAGATGGTATTATGTAGGTGTTCTAATAACCAAGGAAGCAATGAAATTGTTTAAGATATATTGGGTCCGATAAAATATTGGCTAATACCGACCAATTGAACATTCATTATATATATATATATATATATATATATATATATATATATATATATATATATATATATATATAGTAATTTCCACACTCACCATTGAAATTTGGTTAACGTTTTACAAGGAGATTCACTATTGAGCCTTGCGATTTGACTCTAGGCATTGACTAGTAGATAAAATTTTTAAAAATAGAAAAAGCCTAATGTATTTACATAAAGTTTTCTTTTTATGTAAAAATTGGAAAACTAAGAAAACCACCTTTTCGATTAGAAAGTGTTCACATCAAAGATTAAATCTGAATATTTTTAAACTTTCAATAGAGATTTTAAAAAACAAGGAAAACGAAAGAAATTCAGATATGAAGTAATCTTTACTCATTCAGGCTTCAACCAAGAAGTAATCAGCTAAGATTAAATTCGCTCAAATAGTAATTGACATCAAGAACAGCTGGCTATATTACAGTCTGAAAGACGACTCCAAATACCGAGTAACAATTCCCTAGCAACGGCTAGTTACCTTGCTAATCAGTTCTATAAAAGAAATTAAGTAACTTTTTCACTTAAATTTATTCCAGTTTTGCACAGTCTCTTAATGAGCACAGACTAACTTTGATAAATACAAAGTTTGGGATACTAGTTAGAAACTTATCAAAATGAAAGACCATCAGTTAGTGTAGTTTGCTTTAACAAACGAAAAGTGGTGGGGAGTAAATATGAATTTCAGAACAAAAGCGGGTCGACTTTATTATTGGAATAAATTTATTTAATATATTTCAGAATTACAAATTATTCTAACAAAGAAATGCATGTCCAAGCCAAGAAAAAATCTCCAGCAACAATTCTTAATGAAAACAAGTAGCAAGCCAAACGCATGTCCGAATAAAGTCTCTCCACCTCGTCCAGTTAACTCCAGACCAAAAGCCGTGAAACAAATATATTCCTCTGTATTGCTTCAAGTGTCCGTACTCAGAGACATTTACATTGATTCTGAATCGTTAGGCCAGGGGGGGGACGTCAATATGACGCGTTATTTTCTTTTCAAATGATTGCTTTTAGCGTATTGTGTATGAAAAAAAAAAATACGTTCTTAAATTGGGAAACTTCTTTCAAGGAAAAAAAAAAAAAAAAAAACTTATTCACGTTTCTGTACTTGGCTCTTCAGTCTGTACCGGTGAATTTTCAAGTTTGGCGCCATCACTCTGTACCGGCGAAGTTTCAGATTCGGCCCCATCATTCTGTACCGGCGAAGTTTCAGATTCGGCCCCATCATTCTGTACCGGCGAAGTTTCAGATTCGGCCCCATCATTCTGTACCGGCGAAGTTTCAGATTCGGCCCCATCATCGGCCCCATCATTCTGTACCGGCGAAGTTTCAGATTCGGCCCCATCATTCTGTACCGGCGAAGTTTCAGATTCGGCCCCATCATTCTGTACCGGCGAAGTTTCAGATTCGGCCCCATCATTCTGTACCGGCGAAGTTTCAGATTCGGCCCCATCATTCTGTACCGGCGAAGTTTCAGATTCGGCCCCATCACTCTGTACCGGCGAAGTTTCAGATTCGGCCCCATCACTCTGTACCGGCGAAGTTTCAGATTCGGCCCCATCACTCTGTACCGGCGAAGTTTCAGATTCGGCCCCATCACTGCGAGACTGATGACTTTCCAGTTCCTCCTGCCCGGTATCAGAACAAGCCGAAGCGTAACAGTCTGGACCGGAAATATCTTCAGCACCGGCTTGCGTTTCTTCATTCTCTTTAGGGGCCTCGGTGATAGCTAACACACTAGAAGAGGCGGTAGTGATCACGTCTACTAACTGATCAGGTGGTGAAAGGGCCTCCGCTGCAGTCCTTATACTATCCAAGCTGTCACCAGAAATGTCGCCGTCGTGGTCAGTAGGCTTGTCGCTCCAGAAGGAACTCGTCGATAAAGTACTTTCTAAATCTGTGGATTTGCTAGTCTGACCAGCCGGGCTACTGCCAAGACTGGAGTGGCCGTTACTACTTCCTGGGGTTAAAACTGATTTTATAGTTAGGCTGTTGAAGTCGTTAGTAACCGACGACGTTTTAAGTGTTTGCAGAGGTGAATTATCTGCGGATATTTTCAAAGTCGGAACGACAGAAATATCACTATTTTGGTTAGTCTCGGGCTGGTTATTGTTTGCGTCAGTTGAAGAATCATTAGTTTGGATATCATTGACGTTTTCAAAATTAATTTCCGGCTCTTTGGTTCCATCACCAAGTGCCACTCTGCAGAGGGCCAAGAGCTGATTGACAGGGTTCTGTTCATCACTGACCTCGTGAGAATCCCTTTCATTTTTGTCGCCGTCAGAGTCTGAGACAGTCTTTGAGGAAGCGGGTTCGTTGTCATCTCTTAAGGATTTCTGAGCTCCAGATTCTATAATGCCGTTAAGGTCTGAAGAAGTTGCGTCCTGAGCATAAAGAACGTCTTGCGATAAGATCTCCTGGCCGGGGTCAATTTCTTCGACTTCATTACGGCTGGAAGTATCCAGCGGTTTGTCCAAAACGGTGGCCTCCGAGATTATAGTTTCATCCTCGCGAAATATTTTGTCTTGAGTTTTCATATCGGCGAAGTTTTCAGCTTTCGAGACGTTTACAACGGACTCGGCTGCCAAATCTTTAACGTGCTGTGAGGGTGCCGGTAGTGGAATCACTTCCACTGTATCAGAAGACTTCCGAGACACAGGACATGCTAGAGCAATGTGGCCACGTTTCCCGCACCGATAACAAGTTCGGGTATCAGTGGAAGGGCAGTTCCGTTGGATGTGACCTTGACAACCGCAGTTGTAACACGCCCCGTTCTCGATGTCTTTGTCACAGTGGCGGGCAATATGACCAAGCTGGTTGCACAGGTAACAGCGACTCGCTACAGAGTAACAATAACGGGCGATATGACCAACCTTATTGCATTGATAACAACGGATTTGACGAGAGTAGCAGTCGCGAGCCAAGTGACCTAGGCGGTGGCATTTGTAGCAGCGACTTGAACGGTTTGTCTGCACAAAGTTTTTCAGGCCCCTAACCCCCCGGAGTTTGCATGCGTAGGTCATATGACCAAAGTCGCCACATCGATAGCAGTAGACCCCACTGTTCATAGGTATTTGTTGTTGCATAGCCGTGTAGATTATGGACGTTCATATAGGCGATACCTAGAGGAATGATCTCGGTATATACTAGCTCACATAAAGATTACTTGTGCTGTGGTCAAAAAAATCTCTACACGACGCTATAGGGCTTCAAGAAATACTTGCTGCCTACGAATGGAAGTTTACATTTCCTCATTTGGGTAGAAAAAAATTACAACGCTCATTCTAAAGAACTCCATCCCCCCCCACCTACTTGCTACCATTCTCTTCAATTCAGCTTACCACCTTCTGGATAATGTACTAAACCAAGGTTTGTTTGTCACCAAGCCTGTTAATTGATGAGAATAATGATTTTCTAGAAATAACTTAGATGTAGCTCAAGGCCGAAAGTATGGAGCACCCACTGAAGATCGAACTCATTACCCAGTAGTAATTGATCAAGAGAGACAAGTTTGCTAACCATTACACCGTGTCGAATGATTTTCTAAGTGTAGCGTAGATTTGGCACAAGGCCGGAAGTATGGAGCACCCACTGAGGATCGTACTCATTAATCTCTCGTAATTGATCTAGCGAGACAAGTTTGGTAATCATTACACCACGTCGAATAATTTTCAAAGTGTAGCGTAGATGTGGCACAAGGCCGAAAGTGTGGAGTACCCAGTGAGGATCGAACTCACTAATCTCTCGTAATTGATCTAGTGAGACAAGTTTGCTAACAATTACACCATGTCGAATGATTTTCTAAGTGTAGCGTAGATGTGGAACAAGGCCGAAAGTATGGAGCACCCATTGAGGATCGAACTCATTACTCAATCGTAATTGATCAAGCGAGAAAGGCTAGGCTAACCATTGCACCATGTCGAAGTGTCCATGTTAATGAGAATAGTTGGATTAAAAAAGATTCCCAAACAAGAAGGATTGACCTATCTTGTAAATCAGTATTAGAAATTATGATATATATAATCAAGGCGTAAGTGGCTACTGAGAGTGGAAGAGAATGAAAAGACTTTAGAAGGAAGCGGAAACCCAATCCTAAACAGGTAACAAAAGATAAACTTCCATTCCTATTCAAAAGATTGGGGAGGTGTATGAACCGGACGACAGGCGAACCTATTTACTCCTATTGGAAGAGAAATAAATAAATAAGTAGTAAATAAAGTTTCAGAGTTCAGTCAGGCGGAGACGTTAGAAGTATAGAGTTGAAGTAGATTTTAGAAGGAGCCGGAAACCCAATCCTAAACAGGAAACAATGGATAAATCTCTGCTGCTGTTCTAAAGGCCGGGAAAGAGTGTGGACCGAGCGAATCTCAATTTGAAAAGATACATCTTTTGAATTTTATATATATATATATATATATATATATATATATATATATATATATACAAATACTTCATTCTCTAAATATGTCAAACGTCAAACATTTCTGAATTTACAAAACCAAGCTTAAGACTCAAGAGGATGGTGGACGTTAACAAAATTGTGTTACATCGGTTGGTCAAGTGGGGAGATCTTAACTAGAAAATCACCATTTGAAATCCTGTTTATATATATATATATATATATATATATATATATATATATATATATATATATATATAACTAAACTCGTTTTGAAAAACCCTCGAATTTTTGATTTGCTAATCAAATCAATCTCGAGGGTATCTTGGCTACTAAATTAGACAGTTTCCCGTTATTGACATTCCACCTTAATGTTCGTGTGTGTTTTTTTCCCTCCCCATTTTCGTTGAATAAATATTTACCCCCCCACTTAGGTTTGTGTTTGTGTTTTTTTAGTCACGTGGTATGATTTTAGCTATCGCCTATAAATATGTGTTTCTCTTTGCATCGTTAGCTTGACTTTCCCTGACGATCCGTTTAGGTGAAACCTAGGTAGGTTTGTCTGGCTCACTAGGTATATATATATATATATATATATATATATATATATATATATATATATATATATATATATAAATATATGTTGTTGCAATAACTTGGACCGATTTTAAATATGAATTAAGTTTAAGCGTCTGTTTTTTTTTCTTTCAAATTTGGCGGACATTTGGGCAATATTATTTTTACACATAATTGCCATGACTTAAATAACATAATCCAATAAAGAAATAAAGAAATTTTCACCAATAACACTGATTTATTTACTGTTGACTTTGATCCGTCTTAATGAAACACCCTTTAGATAGATAGATAAATAAATAGATAGATAGATAGATAATGAGCAAAATGAGATAGATAGAGATAGATAGATAGATAGATAGATAGATAGATAGATAATGGGCAGAATGAGATAGATAGATAGATAGATAGATTCAAAGACTGATCGCAGCCACCCGTAGGAACTATATAACGAGGCAGAAGATAACTTAACAACCTTATGATCATCAACCTTTCACAAGATTAACAATCATGGTCCTCCACAACTTCCTATCTTTTGTTGCTTTAAATTGATATATTCTGTCCTTTACCATCACTATTTGTCCCTGTTCTGCCATTTCCCTTCTGCCTCTCTACCTTTAAGTATGCCTGGTGGATGATAAATTCTCTAGGTCCCCTTTCCTCACTGTGTACCCTAAAATTTTCAACTATCTCTTTCTTATCGTAAACATATGTGTCTTTTTATTTCCTATTTTCCTTAATACTTCCGCATTGATCAAATGTTCAATTTATGCTATTCTCATCATTCGTCAGTAGAATCACATCTCAGTTGCTTCAATTCTCTTCTTCATCTTTGAAAAGATTACCCAGCATTTGCTGCCGAATATTGGTTGATTGATTCGTTTACTATGGTTTGGCAACCCTTTGCAGGTTATTTAAAGCCAGAAAACATTTTTAGAGTGTAAGAAATATTTTTGGAGATAATAATAGTTTACTGATACGGGTCCTACTAATTAACCCATAGCTGTGAGAGAAAAAGTGTATTCATACCTTTCCCAAGGGTATTTACGCGTAAATGAAGATAATAAACCCAGCGGGCATTGGAACTTGGCTCCCTGAGTCATTATCTATTACACCACCCGCACAACCAAGCTTACAAAACCTGCTATTTCAAAGTGGTCAACTTTCTAGGTATTGACCAAGCTTGACGTTGCTTAACTTCGGTAATCATAAGGGAACAATGTTTCAGCATGATGTGGCTGTAAGCCTTTAGCTGCCATATATTATAGTGCGTGATTAGATATTACATAGCAGTTCAATATTTTTATTTCTAGAGAAATTTTCCGATGTGTACACGAGCGTTCTCTCAACCTTGTATTTTAGCTCCTTTGGCGAAAACTGTCCGTTTCACTACTTATTTTTCTTTTATGCGCCGTGTCCCTTCAGGACGTGGGTGATTGTGGCTCTCCACCGCTTCCACTAATTTGTTGCTCTAAGTAAATTTTGACTCTTTGTCATCCGTCTCTGTTTTGTTATCCATTCAAACAAACTAGTTAGGTATGTTACTCGCAGTTTTTGCATACCTCCCTTGCATTCAGTATGTCCTGTGAGTGTTAAATTCTCCAAGCCCCTTTACCTCCATAAAAATCAGCTTCCTTGTTGAGTCTTTCTCATCAACAACTAAATTTTGAATATTTTTGGTCCGATCGCTCTTTCCTAACTCATCACAATCAATGACTTCAAGATTTATCTATTGATTCGTTTCTATCATTATCTTTAAAGTAATAATAAGTCAAGTAATAAGTATTTGATGACGAACTGTTCACTCCGATATCCAGTGTAATATATATATGGTCGTTCCTTGTGATGGTTACCTCAAGTTACCTCCAAAGCGAAGCCGTCTGGAGTTCCAACTCCTCTAGAGCCACCCATGGCGGTAAGGTCGAAGAGGAAGGATCGGACTGAACGTGTCCAGTCCACCTGAAGGTCCCAACGGCAGACCTTGACAGACCAATCAACCGACAGCCTGATGCATCCAAGTTTTACTTCATGGCGGTAAGGTCGAAGTTCCTCAGAACACGACCAACTCTCGAAGACCCCAACGACGGAATAGGGAAAGATCTACACAATCTCAGCGGCCAAACCGGCGGAAGACGGCAGAGCCAGTCGGACTGGCGTAACGAAGGCAGACCTTGACAGACCAAGCAACCGACAGCCCGATGCAACCAGGTTTTACTTCATGGCGGTAAGGTCGAAGTTCCTCAGAACACGTCCAACCCCCTTAAGACCCCAACGACGGAATAGGCAAAGATCTACACAATCTCAGCGGCCAAGCCCACGGAAGAGGTCAGCGCAAGTCGGGATGGCGTAACAAAGCTTCCATTGATGAGTTTGGTTTGCATCCTCTCTCCTGTCGTCGTAGTGTCGGCCGCTTTCCACGGCATGCAGCAATAAACGACATCATCAGAAGAGGTTTGGATGCAGCTGGGTTCCCTTCCCAAATCGAACCCGTAGGCCTCGACCGCGGTGTGGAAAGTGGCCGGATGGCATTACCATTTTCCCTTTTAAAATGGGGAAATTGTTGATTTGGGATGCGACCTGTGCGGATACATTTTCGGCCGGTAATTTGATCAGGTCCGCGGTTGAGCCAGGATCCGTCGCCCGGGACGCAGAGATAAAAAAATAAAATATTCTTCTCTTGCTGATATATATATATATATATATATATATATATATATATAGATATATATATATTTTTTTTTTTTACTCCAGTGGCAGCGGAGACTTCAGGGGTTATTGGCCCTCGTTCTATGGCGTTCCTTCGGAGGATTGGCGCGATTGCGTCTCGATTAAGGGACGAGCCTCGCGAAACGGAGTGGCTCTTGCAGCGTGTCTCACTGGCGATGGTTCGAGGTAATGCTTTCTCCATCATTGCGACTGGCAGAGGATAGCAAAAAAATTGTTTATAGTTACTTTGTTCAAACTTTTCTTTTCAATAAATAAATTAGCAAAAAAAAATTCGATCGAATTGAGTTCGCGAGACATGCATAAGCTGAAAGTGTGAGAATTGCTTAAAGAAAGAAAGAAATGTCATTTCCAAACAAAAAAAAAAGAATTATACGTTTTGCGAGTTTACGTCACAGACGCCCCCGCGCAAAGGTAAAATGATCATAAGTATTTTTTTTTTTTTTTTTTTTTGCGTTCCATTTCAAATACAGCGTCTCTGCAATTTGGATTTTTTTTTTACTATTTGTCTCTACTTCGCCATATTGTTACCTTCTTCATCACGTGGACCATTACATCTTTACACTTACTGACATTACTTTGTATTTCCAAGGTAATTTTACATTTTTCTCACTCTAGATTTTACCTATTGCAACCTAGGTAATGACGCGTTTGTTTCAAAACAAAATTAAATCTTGATGCCTTCGCGTATATCCATATCTACTTACATAGAAAACGCTTATCAGTAAATTTCTGTCGGAATAATTTTACATTTGAATATATACATATTTTATAACCCGATTCATTATTAAACCTACTCTTCTGTCTATCAATACATCGCAGGTTTTCTTATTAATCTTTTTTCGCTATGTCTATATAAAACTATTCCAATTATATATCTACATTTTTCACATATCTATCTTTCTATCAGTCATTTTATCTTCAGTATGTCACTATCTATCTATCTATCTATCTATCTATGTCTCAGTATGTTCCAATCTATCTATCTCTCTTTCTCTTTCCTTCTCTATATATACATATATCAGTCTGTTATTATCTCTCTTTCTCTTTCTTTCTATATATATATATATACATATATCAGTCTGTTATTATCTCTTATTATTTCTTTCTTTTATATATATATATACATATATCAGTCTGTTATATCTTTCTATATATATATATCATATATCAGTCTGTTTTCTCTTTCTTTTTCTTTCTATATATATATATATACATATATCAGTCTGTTATTATCTCTCTTTCTCTTTCTTTCTATATATATATATACATATATCAGTCTGTTATTATCTCTCTTTCTCTTTCTTTCTATATATATATATACATATATCAGTTTGTTATTATCTCTCTTTCTCTTTCTTTCTATATATATATATACATATATCAGTCTGTTATTATCTATCTGTCTGTCTCTGTTCCAATCAATCCGTCTGCTTACGGACATATCACGTTAAAATACCAGTTCTCGTTCGATCACCGAAGTTAAGCAACGTCGAGCCTGGTCAGTACCTAAACGAGTGACCGCTTGGGAATACCAAGTGTTGTAATCTTAGATGTGCGGATGGTGTAATAAATAATGGCTCGGAATAAGAAATCGGAGAGCCAAGTTCGGATTCCAGTCGGGTTCGTTACATTCACTTACGTGCAAAAACCCTTGGGAAAGATAGGAATCAACTTCTTCTCTCCAGCTTAATCTAATATTCACTTGCAAAAAGAATTATTCAATCCCAAATTACTTTTTGACTTTAAATAATCTACAAAAGATTGATAAACCGTAAAAAAAAATCCTTTCAAACCTATCTACGTATGTCAGTTTATTCCTATTTATCTAACCATTTATTTAAATGATTAAATGTATAATATGGAATACCAAGTGAGAATCGAACTCTATAAGTTCAGCTCGAAATGCCTAAGCACTAGGCTACAAATATTGTGCACCTAGTGTCTCTCTCTCTCTCTCTCTCTCTCTTTCTCTCTCTCTCTCTCTCTCAAAAAGTTATTTTTGCTTTGTATTCAAATCTCTAGTTTTCAAAAAAGAAGGTGCTGGTGACATTTTTGCACACGCCTAATATTACTATTAATCTTATTATGGCTTTTCAAATGAAGTCTTCTTTTTCAGTATTATGATTATGTTGTTAATATTACTCCCTCATCATTTTCGCTACAATATTCTGGTCGATAGACTCGTCTACCGCATAATCGAAACTAAAGAAACAGCTTCTAGCCAGACTAAAGAATCGTCCGCCTGTTTATTAATCGCCTTAATTTTTGTATAGCCGAAGAATTGTCCGCTTATCTACCAATTTATTAATCTTATTGTTTTTTTGTTGTTTTTTTTTTCTATAGATGACGAATTGTCTGCCTGTCTATCAGCCGACTGATGAACTTTGAAAACGTTCCTTTTCCTTGAAAATGAAAGACTCTACTAAAGTGAATCGCTTTTGAAATAATAATTCAGCCAGCTAAAACTAAAGCATAAAAACAAGAGACCGCATATGAATATATATATATAATTTCTTTTTATATATATTATCGCATATTTGATATATTTGAGAAAAAATCACCATGAACGACGCCGATATTGAAAGGTTGATGAGGAGGACGAAGCTGAAGCTGATGTGGCAAGTAAGCGCCTTGTACTCAAAACCACTCTGTTTCCTCATGGAGCGAGTTAAAGAAATTCGCTTGTCCATAAACCACACAACGCTAGAGACAACCATGTTGCAACGCTTCATCGAAGATAATCAATTAGAAATCACGGTCGAAAGCAGCAGGTCAAGTACAGACGGCAGCAGTGAAACATCTCAGTCGACTTCCGTCGACACCCCAATCAGCTCCACGGCTATGACTTTGATGTGCACGACGGGGAAACGGCCCAAAAAAGGCGAACTTAGCTTGGAACACAAGTTAAATATCGCACAAAACTATATAAGGTGGCTGACGGAAGAAAGTATAATGAAAAAACGACAAGTTAACGCTTACGTCAACGACCTGCTGGCTTCGATCGAAAACCAGGATTTGACGCTTAGGACGATACAGAATGAAATAAATTGTTTGCTGTCCAAGGTTGGACCGTCTGTCTGTTTTGCGAATAAAAAGCCTGGAGAGATTCCGAACCGGGAGCGAATGTCTTTCGAAAAATGGTGGACGATAGTCTGCGCTAACGACACAAATCGTGACCGGTTAATTCGTGCCACAAAGTTGGAGAATATCTTTCTGGTGCAGCAGATTAAGAAACTGGTGATGGTTCGCAAATATGAGGAACAGGTGGACCCGGCAGAGTTTTACCGGAAGTTGCTGGAAAACCGTTCTTTTCCGACCGAGATCGACCAGCTCACGAATAAACGAGTGAGACTTCTGTGCCGAACGAGCGTGGCCGAACACGAAGCGTACAATCTTCGCCGATACCTGGAGAAGCGGGTGGCTTATGGTGATCAGCTGCGCGGGAGGATTGCGAGGGAGAAGTACATGATGGGCCGGGTTGAACAGAGCTTAGCGATATCCACAGCCAGCCGAAACAAAGAAAGGTTTATCAACGAAAAGCTGGTGCAGCTGTTCAGCGATTACCGGGTACCGGGTGTGCCAGAATACATTATGCTAAGCAAACAGAACGAAGACTTAAAAGAGATTGTAAAGATGTGGCAGAAGAAAGTAGCAGTGGCCAAGCTCATCAGGAACACCAATAGGCAAAAATGGAGGCGGCTCACTAAGCAATGACGTCTGTCAGTATGAAAAGGAAAATCAAAAACATTCCGTGTATTTTATTTTATGTTTATCGAATTTTAAAATTATGAAAGTTAATGTCGTTCTTTCTTTTATTCATTTTATTTCATAGTTCTAAAAAGCCTTTTTTAGGGTATGTGATACAAACAAAACGGTTATCGGCGCTAAAAGAGAACTCAGCGAGACGAGTTCAAAATCTGCCTTAATCTTTTGCACTAACTTAAGCAAAAGTTGCCCTTTGCAAATCAAAGATTCTATATCTTCTTCCCTCAGCTATGGGTTAAATAAATAACAGAGTAGACTAGACTCTCGAGTCTTGGTTGATAGGCAGTCTAGCAGAAGAACAAATCTAAATTCAAAACCTTAGAGAAAGCAAGTGAAGATTACTTCACTATCTTTCCGACGAAGCTGTGGTAATTCACAAAAACATAAAACAAATATGTAGTGTGTCATAATCGCCTAATTTTTGGAGAGACATCGAATTTAAAAAATAAATTATTTACGAAATATTTTCATGGTGGTGTTAGTGGGGCAAATTGTTTGACTGTTTACGTCAGCCAAAATGTTTGTTCGGTTTAAATGTTTGTTCAGCAAAAATAAGACTTTTTTTTTAATTTTCGGCATTAATCATATGTCGCGTTTCTTCCACTATATTCTGTCATCTTCAAGAAAATTTATACTTCCATCTTCGATGGTAGACAGTCCAGGAGAACAAAACTGAGTTCAAAACCGTAGAGAAAGCAAATGAGGGACTACTCCACTATCTTTCCAAAGACGTTATGGTAATTACAGAAAATTATTTTGTAGTGTGCCATAATCGTCGTCTCCTTGAAGGGACATGGCATTTAAAAAAAGAAAATAATTTACAAAATATTTTCATGGTGTTGGTGGGGTAAATTGTTTGACTTTTGGCGTTGGCTATAATATAGTAAAAATAAAAGATTTTTTTTTTTTTTTTTTTTTTGGCACTAAGCTTATTCTCCACTTTTTTTCACTACCTTCACATCTTCAAGAAAATTAATACTTCTTTGAATTTTTCATCTTAATTCATAAAGAATTGCTATATTACAGTCTCTCGGGAAATTATTTGGTTTGTCTGTTTTGTTTTATTTCATTAAGTTTCATTAAGAATATTTTATAAGCCGAAAATAAAATGTCATCCAAAATTCATTATTTTCTCAATATGGCAAAGTGAAAAAGCTGTAACAGATTTTGACTGGTTCAAATCAAAATCCAAATCCAGGACCATCGCACACATGTTGGAGGAAATCCTCCATGTTTGACCTCCACCACTTCCTATCTCTGGCGGTAATAACCCTTTTCTTTTTCTTATATTCTTTTTTTTTAAATCTGTTCGAAAGTAAACTTAAAGACATGGTAAATATAATGACATGGACTGAAATTTGGACATAACGATCTTTATATTATATTATATTCATTATTTATATTATTCGGACTATTGTCCTCGTCTTTGTCGCCATATTTATTACAGCGTTCCGGCCTACTTCAGGTGGTTGGAATGTCGAACTGAACCATTTATTTCGCTCAATGAGGTAGACTGTTCTAGTTCAATGTTTAATGGATGTCCGTTATCACTTATCTCCTGTTAATTTCCTTCTGAAAGTTTTCCACTGCCTTAACTCACACTCTTTGGATCCTGTCACTGGATCTAACTAACACCTTTTATCCACTGTGCCATGTGTCCTTGAGGACATCTGTGTATGAATTTCTGGGTATTATAAACCTAATGTCTTCAGCATCATTTTTTACCAGTGCTCATATTGCAATTTTGATGTTACCATTAAATGTTTTTACCAGAGCTCATATTGCAATTTTTGTTGTTATTATCGCTTTTCTCTGACACTCCTTATTACTGGTTCCCGTATTGTATTCATTTCTATGCTTGGTCGGCTCAGGAGATTTTTGTGGCCTAGCATATGTGCTGATTCCTTATGTTTATGAATTTTCCAATGGTGTCCATTGTATATGATATTATATTATATTATATTAATATAGTATATTATATATTATAATATATTATAAAGTTTCCTCGCCGTCTAAACATTTACGTGCTCATCAAAAATTTCAAGATTATTTGCATATAGATATTTCCAAGAACAATGAAATCTCCGTATGCTCTCCCTTTGATTAAAATGCAGCTTCCGATATTTCTTTGAGATTCTAGTGTCCTATCTGTTCCTGTTCCCCGCCCTTGGTCTTGTCTTCAGGCAGGACAGTGCATAATCTAAGACGAGCCTCGTCCTGGAGATCCCAACCATACCACAATACCCCCCGTTGCACTTAAAGAAGAGTAACAGAGTATCCAAACGTCTACGAACCAATAGTAATAATTGTTCAATAACGTATCCTAGTCTAATAATTATACGCATCTCATATCTTTAAAAGCATTGGGGCTGCTAAAACATTTTTTTTAAATTGTATCATCTACTTTCAGAACGTTGGCGATCGTGGTTCTCCACATCTTCCGGTCTTTTTGTTGCTCTAAGAAACTTTTGACCCTTTGCCATTTCTTTTGCCACCCTCGTTTTGACAGTTTTTAAGCAAAATGCGTGTTGTGGAGACGAGGAAATTTTCTGCCCTTCCTACAAGTACGCGAGCAATTCACCATGCCAAACTGACTATGAGTTATATTCTGTCACCATGTGGAGGAAGGTAAATATCGGATCAACTTGGCGTAACTGTGTACTTTATGAAAATATTACACCCAAAAAGTAATAAAAATATATGCGATGTGTATATTAATGTACAACACATTACTATACATATAATATGCCAGTTCTTCTTCTAGTAACGCTTCTATTAATTCTTGATCCTCAAACCATGTATCCAACATTGTTCATGTTTTGAATATTGCTGTCACATCTGGTCTAGAGATTCCTGATAAAATCTAAAGAAGAATCTAGTATTAGTCCTGACCCGGAATCTCGGCTTCAGTCACTTTCCTACCGACGTAACGTAGCTTCCCTGTACCTTATCTATAAATAAAGGGTGTTCCAATAACTTGGACCGATTTTGAATGTGAATTAAGCTTAAGCGTCTAATGATTTTTTTTTCTTTTTCTTTCAGATTTAACAACTTCAGTCATTGCCAATTTCAATCATCATTTCAAACACCTTTACTTTCATGGTAAGATGAATTTTCCTTTATGGTACCTAGACTTCACGAATTTAAGCGTAGTACTATAATAGCGGCAAGATCTCATCATTGTACAGTTGAAATGGCAAGATGTAACCGTAAGTTCTATGCTAACAGTTTCTTCTCTTACACTTATCGCATGTGGAACTCTCTTCTGGTTTCTTGTTTTCCAGGCAACTTAAATCTTCGAAAATTTTCTTCGAAAATTTAAATGTGATGTCAGTCGTTATCTTCTGTCTTCTTAATTTCTGTTCTTTTATTGTTCTCTCTCCTTAATAGTGTTTTTTTTTTCTCGCGCTTAATAACCCCCTTGTGGTTTTATTGCCATGCTTGAAGTGAAATGCTTAAGAAAAATAACATTGTTTCAGCATTAAATTAATAAGACCAACGGATAAACTCATGGAACTTTCAATGCATTTTCACCTGAGTAAATCATAATGTTCATTTTTTATTAAAACATTTTCCCGATCAAGTATATCGACATATATAATCGCATGGAAACACACAGTGAAACCCGATACCTTAAAGGGTAACTGAAATTATTTTGTGGCTGTAATGTTACACTTAAAAGAGTAATTGAACGTTGCTAGGCTGTGAAGTTCTCTGTGGCTTAGCAGTCTAAAATGTGTTGGATCTGATGGTGGTTTCCCCTACAAAGAGGCAAGAAGGTTCAAAACCTGCCGAGGAACACATTTTCTTTGTGAAGACACTCAAATACATAGGCCGATAGATTTAAATTTACATTGTAAAAAACAGGACGTCTACACGTGTATGTACTAAAATATAACATTGTAAGTAATAATAAGAATATATATATATATATTATAACATTATTAATAACATTTACCGGCCTGAATGTCTGAGAAATTTTCATAGAAAATATTCATTCTCTGACAGGAATCGAACCTCTATCCTATCACGGAACCGTCATATAGTCTGACGTGTCCCACATAGGAGTCGATTTTACTGCTTTTAAACTACAATCTTCCATGAATCTCTCACGTACATTCATATCTGCTCAATGCGTATCCAAATGTAATCAAATGCCATTCAGGCCGGTAAATGTTATTAATACTTTTTATTATAAACAGAGCATTTACTTAAATATTTGTATCTATAAAAAGAATGTATAAACAGGAAAATGTCTTAAAATATTTGTCGAACTTTGTCCATTTCATAATGTGTGACGTCATTTGTTTACATTTGATACGCCATGAGCAGATATGAATGTACGTGAGAGATTCATAAAAGATTGAAGTTCAAATACAGTAAATTCGACCTTGCTAACCGAACGCTCCTCTATGGCCAAATCGGTAAAGGCACGTCAAGCTAAATGACGGTTCCGCGGGACGAATATTTTCTATGAAAATTTCTCGGACATTCAGAGCGATAAATGTTATTAATACTGTTTATTATAAACAGAGCATTTACTTAAATATTTGTACCTATAAAAAGAATGTATAAACGGAAAAATGTCTTAAAATAATTGTTGGACTTTGTCCATTTCATAATATATATATATATATATATATATATATATATATATTAGTTACACAAAATTCTGTCAAAATATTAAGTTGTTTTACGAATCAACGAAATCTAATCAGCTTAAATTATAGAAGCTGAGGACTCAAAAGGATTTTTATTAAGGACTGCGCGTGATTGTGCGTTTGTATGTGTGTGTGAGAGTGCGTGCGAACGTGGTTTCTTTTCTTGCTTTATCTCCATTAATTCTCAAAGGGCTCTTTTTTGTGCCCCTTTTTGTCTCCATTTTAAGCCTTGTAAATCTAGTCCTTCCTCAAGGAACCTGTTCCATCTTTCTCAGAACGACTCAAATT